GAAATTCCACAGTGCCTCTATTAATTTTTTCTTTCTTCCTTGACTCACAGAGGAACTTCAGTGCATGCCCGATAGAAGTTGCATTATTAATACAAACTCTTTCCATATGCAGCATCACAATAAAACTTTGGGCGATTTCAGTGCAGTAAAATTCCTCACCAGGACCCTGTCTTAGTATTTGTTTTTGGCTGAATGCTGCTCTGCTGCTTTTGGTTGGTGGCAAAAATAAATGTTCTTCAGAAATGTTTTTTCATAATTAGGGAGACAAGTTATAAGATTACAGTTTTTGTCAAACCCTAAGTCCAGGAAATTGAATCTAGAGATTATGGAGATGTGTTTCAGCATTTCACATACCTGCTACCAAGAATAATGTCTTTTTCTGAAATGTCTGTAATGATATGAGAATGCTTCCCTTTTATGATGCATCTGTAAGTGATAGGAAGGGTAATTAATGCAACACATATTTTTTCTAAAAGCAGTGAGGTGTTGACTTGACACTAGTATCCATACCAAAAGAAATAGGTACTACTCTGCTGGCATTTGGAGGGGGTGAGGTTTGACTACTCAGCACCCTCCTTCAAAATTTCTGCTTTTCTGTTATGGGTGAGTTGATCAGTTTATTTACAGTCCATGTAAGTTTTGCATGTGTGCAATCATAAGTCCTTTCCATGATCTTTTTGCATTAGAAGAAAAAAACACTGAAAATTCTACATTAAAATTGTAGGAGTTTTCTCCTAAAATATGCATTTTTGTATGCTTTTCCACTGTTGCAACCTGATCCCAGCCTCTCTCTCTCCCTTCCCAGCAAATCAAGAAGTTTCTAATTGTAGTTTTTTATTACGTTCAAGCTGTCTAGCCAGGGCTGGCTTTGTGACGTGGAGAATATCAAGTTTGTTAACAAGAAGCATCTATCAAGTTAATGAGCCCTCTAATTGTGTAATTAGTTCTACCCATGTGAGAAGTTGATTCCAAATTGAATTCCCCTTCTCCTTTCCCTACCAAACTGAGTTGGCACCACCTTCAGGGAGGGTTTCACTATTTGGGGGCAAAAAGGTGGGAACACTGGATGTTACTTAATCAGTCCACTCATTTGACTTGACATTGAGTTACCAGGCTAATTAAATGACATGCCTCCCTGCCCCTCCCTGTTCCACAGTGTTTTCTTCTGAACTAGAGGTGGTCTGGTTCTCACCAGCCACTTGGCTTATCTTGACGCTTGTTGGCTTTAGCAATTCAGCCAAGCATTCCAACCCCACTTCTTCTTTCGGTTGAGATCCAGAGTCTGAAGTATCCACCTTGGAATGCTGTATTTTGGGAAAAGTGGGCCCAATCCCACCATCACCTACAATGTGCATTTTTAAAGCCAAGAATTACATTGTAATATTTGAAGTGTGCAGTATGAAGGATAATGCATTCCACTCTACATAATAGTATGGGAAATGTGAATAAGGTCAGTCTGCTTTAAAATGAAGATCAAATGAAATTCTCCAGGATTGCCATGTTTCACAGAATATATACTTGATCAGTGTGTCATTGCATGAGAGCAGAAACACTGAAAACCGCATATCTACCTGCTGAGCCCTCTGAGACCTTTCTTTCTCTTGCTTCCTATTTCCCTTCCCACTGAATATGAAGTTTCTGCCTTCAATGCTAAAACTAGAATTGTAGCAGAACTGAGCAATTAGTTGCTCAGCAGTGCTGCAGGTGCTACACAAATGTCCAGAACTGCAATGAAAATGGCTAAGCCTCTTTAAGATAGATATGGAAAATTGCAGCTGCTGTAATCAGAACTGTTCCCTGATTACTTTAAATTCTCTCTAGATTTCTGTTCTAATCTGAATTACAATTTGAGTGTACTGTAAATGAATTTGTAAATTGGAAGACCATGTTGTAACTTGCCCCATTGGGAGAGCTCATGGTTCTGTTCTAATTAAACTGATAAGGGATCTTGAAATTGTGGTGCTCAATAAAAATTGTAGCCCAGTCTGTGAAAAGGACAAATTCCATGTTGGAAAAGATATCAAAAATAAGTCTGCCAATATAATACCTTTATATAAATATAGTTTATTTATTTATTAGATTTGTTTGAAGGCTGCCATTAGCATCATGCTCTCTGGTGGCCATTACAATAAAATGTAGCTATATGTAGCTACACTTGGAATATTGATTCCAGTTCTGGTTGCTGCATCTTAGAAAGGACATGTAGCACTTGTAAAGATCAGAAAAAGGCAGCCAAATGATTAGAAGTCTTGGAGCAACTTACCAGTGAGGAGACATCTTTGGGGCTCTTTAGCTTAGAAAAATGAGTAAGGGGAGATATGATGGAAGTGCAAATTTTTATGCATGGTGTGGAGCAAGTGGAATAAATTTTCTTGTCTCCCATGATTCTACTACTCATCATAATACAATAATCTGATGAAGTTGAATGGTGGGAGATTGAGGACAGAGGAAAGGAAGTACTTCTTTACACAGTGTATAGCTTAATCAATTTGCTACCATAACTCATAGTGATACCCACCATTTTGGATTGTTTTAAGGGGATAGTAGACAAATTCATGGAGGATAAAGCAATAAAATGCCTTCAAGTCATAATGGCTATATATTACCTCCAACTTTTGTGAAAATACAGCTCCGAATACAAGTTGCCAGGGTACATGAGCAGGTGGATATTATTGTACTCATGTCTTATTTATGTAATCTGGTTGCTGAGAAAGCTATACATTGAACATTCTGGCTGATTTTTAGTTTAGTAGAAAGTAAGCAGCACTGAATTCTCTCAATAAGTGAAGGTGAAACAATATGAATAATTTTGATGTGATTTATTTGGTATAGTATGTTCCTGTTCCTTCAGATGTAAGAGTGCTGTCAAGGCAGAGTTATGAAGCCTCAGACTGCAGCTATGACAATGCTAGATAAGCACAGTATCAGTAGAGGCAACTCAGCACCGACATGGGCAAACAAGCAAGACTGGATAAGAGGCAAAAGGCTGAAGCAGCTCTAAATAGGTATGGGCAACTTACAGCTTTTCAGGTGTTGTGGGCTACAGCTCCCATCACCTCTCGTCAGCATTGGCTATAGTGTGGGATGATGCACCTGCATCAAAACATCTGGAAAGCAACAAGTTGCCTACTCATTTTATAGACAGTGAATGGAGGGATAAGAATGCTTTAGGTTCATCCCTCTTTGGAATATCTGCCACCTTCTCACTCTGGTTCCATCTTGGTCTCCACCTGTCATATTTTGCCCTCAACCTTAACGAGTGTTGGGTTGGTACAGTTCAGAAGGTGAAAATAGAAACTGGAAAATGACACAGTGAACCCCAGAAAGCTTAACAATCATCACCACCAGAGCCTCTCCCATTTGTTTGGTAAGAGATTTGGGCTGTTTTAGGGGTTGAAAAACAAAGTGTTCAATCTATTTTAAAAGGTGCTGCTTTCCTCAATAAGCTTATTCCTGTGCACCTTCCCACCCCCCCCTTTTTTTTTTTTTTGGTTTTTATCATGGTTTGATAGAAAAAGCTGGATATGGCAGGTTGTTATTTATTGCTCTGGTGGTGTTTGTAGGAACCCAGCCGAAGGTCTTGAAATTTAGTGCTGTGATCCTGGATCATCCTATGAACACACATATATCAAGAAGCCAAGGTCTGCTACAAAGCTGCTGGCCACTCTTTCCATCTGTCCATTTTGGCAATACTATTGCTAGAGAGTAATGCTAGCTATTCCAGCAAGGGCGTGTTCAGCTGCATATCAGGAGCGCTATATTGTATGTGCCACCTTCTGCCAGCATTGCTCTGCAGCAATCTTTGTGTAGGAGGATGAACAAAGAAAGGAAGAATAAATATTTGTATCTTTTTAGATACTTCAGTTCTGACTTGAGTCATAGTACTTGCAGCTTGCTTACCATACGTAACATTTTGCAGAGTTAGTGAAAGTGATTCTCCTATTTAGGTGCATAGTAGGCTTCTTCAGACACAATGGAAAGATGAAGCTGGTTCAAGTGTATGAACCTGGAATCTTTCGGAAGAGCTGCTTGTGTCACTGGAGATGTTGCTTGCCTACTGGAGGAATCTTTTGAGGATCTAGAGCTCAATGCCATGGAACTATCCATGTCAAGAGACCTAGGAGAGCCTTGTCCCACAAGCAAGAGGAAAGTTCTACTTCAGAGACAAAGAATGAGTGGCCACCTAGTCCCGGAGACTGTCATACCTCAAGAGGCTATTCAGTAAGATTTGTTTAAGAGCTACCATGCCCTGTAGAAGGAGGCAGGAACATTCCAGGAGGAAGCCTTATAACATGCTGCTACTGAACCTTGGATGGGACTCAGGAGCTCTGGCAATATAAGCCTGCATTCTTAGAAAGTGGACTGATCCAAGAGAAGGTTCACAAATACAGAACTCTGGTTGTGCAAGTGACAACAATTATCTGTGTCACATGCAACATAAGCAAAGGCTGCAAGTTATGTGCCCAAAGGAGAGACTCCTCTTGTGCGGCGGTCATGTGGGGCTTAGTAAGCATCACGTGGACTCTTGGTACATTCCCCAGGAAGTCAGACTCATGGCCTTGAGAAAGAGGGCCAGAGTCTGGGGAGCCAAGCCAAGGATAAATTCTCACCCCAAAACAGATTCCTTACACATCCCTCACTCCATTACTTGTGTTTTTAATTTTTTAATGATCTCTCTCTCTCTCTCTCTCTCTCTCTCTCTCTCTCTCTCTCTCTCTCTGCTTTTCTGTGTTCCATTGCACAACAAAAAGGGTGCTAGAATATAGCAGAATTGTAACAATACATGAACTTCCCATAGCATGATTTCCAGATAATAGCACACTTTGCTTCATCTTTAAATAGCCGTAGAAATGGTTGCAAAGCATGCAAGAAACGCATCATGTAAAGCACCCACAAAGTACTAATCGGGCCCACATGATAAATGCCTCATGTAGTGAAGCCCTTAGCCACCTTTGCAAGATACGGATAATAATAATTCCCTATCATAGGTTAATTATAAGGATTACAGAAGGATACTGGGCTGGATCTGGATTTAGTCATGCTTAAATGGATAGGGTGATTTTTACCTTGGATCAGCTCATGGGTGGCAATGAGGGGTTTTTGTTGTTCTCCATTTTGCAGGCTAAATATGATTTGCCTGAATGGCAATACTTGTTGTTGTAACACTTGTTAGTATCCTGATTTGGCCCTTCTGCTCTTACAACTTCAGTGGCTCTCTTGCTGTTGGGCCCTGTCAGACAAATTAACTTATGATCCATTTCTATAAACATTATTGATGGATAAATAGGATACACAGTGTCTTAAACAGGAATGGAGTAAGGAACTGGATTGTCCCATTTTGCTTAATGGATAGTTGCCTTGCTAGCTCCATCTGATGTCTGTGGATCTCAGTTTGCATCTTATTTAGAAAAACCTAAAACCTTTTGTTTTTATTGGACAGCATATTAAATGTCTCTTTAATAAGGGTCTGTCTGTCTCAGATATTTGTTGGAGGTATAATGCAGCTAATACATACCAGCATATGTTTGGGAAAGGCCTAGGATGTGCCCCCTTTAAAAGGAGATTATGCTGCTATTCTTTGTCATGGAACACTTCTTAATATGTAGATGCACCTTTAAATTATCTACCTGCTTCTTGGAAGTTAACATATGATCACCACAAATGTATTCTCTGTCCTTCTGATAGCTAAAGGCTGATAGTACAACCTTGGAAAGATAAACATTGACCTCCTTTAATGTGATGGACTAAAGACCTGACTATGCATTCATATTTGATCAGGTAGTTGACTTAACATTGGGTAGAAAGCTTTATGTATCCTAATCTCTGTTTTGGCCTGGACAGTGCCTGGGGGTAGAGCTATTACCAGTGATAAGTGCTAAGGTGGGACAAGAGAGACTGTATGAAATGGTTTTACTGAGGCTTTTGTAAATTGGGAATGTGCCATCTCTTGAACTTTAGTGAAATAATGTGGATTTCACACACAGACCTGCTTTGCAAATAAATTTATTTAATGGATTAAACAATGCTGTTGAGAGACAGACAATGTAGAGTTTTCATACACGCACACTCCTTCAGAGTTCTAACTCTAGTTTTGTCTAAACTCTGGGTTGTTTCTTCTCTAGCAAAGAGGTCCAGGTTTGAATGTTAGATCGAACAACCCAGGAACAGGGTTGGTTTAAGCTGATTTCAAGCTGAAGTGGTGAGTCTACCTCAGACAGCATGCTCACTTGCTTTTGCCCAGTCTTTGGCAAAACTATTTGTGGTTTAAGCAATCCATGGATTGATGTTATGAGCAAACTTTGCCAAAAAGTTCTGTAAAATCTTTTGAATGACTGAACGTTATCAGTGAGCATGAGGAGCCTAAACTGATAAGAATAAGGAATTTCTATATGGTTGCAAAAATGTTTATTTTTGGAAACTGCAATCATTGCAATATAAACTTACTCTGCAATTACCAAGCCTGTTTAGTCAGATGTAAGAATCTGCATGGTTTACTTTTTGGTGAATGTTCATAGGATTGCAGCTGTGCAGCACACAATAGGAGCTCTGAGGTTGTGTGGAGCCTACTGGCAGGAAGATTCTACAGCTAAGCATTAGTTTGGGTGGGAGCCTCTCCTCTTGTTCCCTGCATCAAATGAATGGGGAATTGCCTAAGAAGGCAATAAAGCAACACCATATAAATGGACACAGGTTGCACTTTATCTCGGTGTGGGCAGCTTGTGGCTCTGCAGTTGTTTTGGCCTATAGTGCTCATAATCTCTCACATTAACTATCCTGTCTAGGCCTGATGGGAGTTGTGAATGGAAACATCTGGAAGACCACAAGTTTGCCCATTCCTACTTTACCAGCTGACCCAGTGGGTTACAAAGTTGTAAATTTGAACTCGAAGTGGTTAACCAAATGAACATTTACCATTACATTTTTCTTTGAATAAGAGTGCTGTATGTCCTTGCTTTCTGTATGGGTTCCGAGAATCATACAAGAATCCTATTAGCACTATTTGAGTTTGTTAATCAGATGCTTTAGCTACAAATTGGTGTGCATTTGATTCTGATAATTCTCTTTCTTGTTTTTTCAACATGACCCAAACCAAGTGGGTCAAAAGATGTAATTACATTCCTGTTTGCTGTGAGATCATTTTGGTCCCAGGCAAACTTTCCCTTGAATGTATAAACATATCCATCTGATTTTACATTTTGTTGAACCTTAAACACAACAGTGTAATTCTAGCAACAAGCTTTGTGAATGAATCATGTCCAGGAACTGATTTTGCAGTTATTATTAAATACTTTTGAAGAACATAGTCTTCGCGTGCATTTAACTTGTGGAGTATGGGAAGAGGCCAGTACTTGCTGGAGGGGAAATGTTCTTATAAAGTGTTGAGGATTAAGTATTTGGTTACATATAACCATATATATATATATATATATATATATATATATATATATAGTTTTGGATACCAAATTGAAAGGTTTTTTTTTCTAAATGCATTTGGGCTTCCCAAACATGCCAAGCTGTATTGTTGTGTTAAATTCTGGGTTTACACAACATGGCAAACCATTGTGGGTAGCAACCTGTGATGGTTTCTCATGTCAAGTGAACCAGGTCATAGATTCTAATCCATTACCATTTTTCCCACAGTTGTGTCTTAAAATTTGAGAAAGTATCTGGTTTGGCCATAATTCTTACCTAGTTAAAAGCTTGTTATAGGTAAATGTTCATAAGAGGTGCACTGATATGCCTGTATCTCTGTGTGCAGTGTACCTTTTCCAGTACCTGCTAGAAATTGATTTATCGCTGTACCCTATAGGAACAGGAAAAAATGGACTACTAGTGATGAGTATTTGAAATAACTGGATTGATTCATTTAAAAGGGCTGCTGACACCACAGAGATAAAGGGTTGAACATTTTGGAAAATTTCATACTTCAAAATTTTGAAATAAAACTCTATATGGCATTTTTTAAAATGCTAATATCGCATAACTAATTCCCATTAATTCTCAGATTCATACAGGTCCCTATATTATTATATACCTTGGTACAAATAAGGTAGACAAAACGCAAAGTATTAATGTATATGATGAGTTTAAATTGTCAATTGTTGAAATTGCCAGTCTACCCTTACTAATGTTTGCTTTGCCATTTATTAAATAGCCTGATACCTGTTGGAGTATTTTCCTTTGTAAAATCAATGTAGGACTAATTATTTTGCATATGGAAATTTCCACAGAGGAAAGAAAAGGTAGCATTCAGTTAAGTACAGTGATTTCAAGCAAATATCATAGAATCATAGAACAGAAGAGTTGGAAGGGGCCAGAGGCCACCAGGTCCAGTCCTTTGCTCTGAGGACACTGACTTAAGCCATCCTTCTCAGATGGCTCTCTAGTTGCATCTTGTATGCCTCTAGTGTGGTAAAGCCGAATTACCACAACATCCCTAGGTAATTGCTTCCATTGTCATACTGCTCTTAACAGTCAGGAAAAGATGTGGCATTTAAGAGGACAAACAGGAAAAAAAAGAAAAAATGTGAAAAAGAATTGTAGAACATGAGTGGTTGTGAAAAAGCAAACATATGATCCCTGATTCTTTAACCAAAGATTCTCTTTAAGTGAAAGTGGCAATAGACTTCAGTAAAAAATTGTGGGATACAGAACTATAGTAACATATAAGATAAGTACATTTAACACCATTCTCTGTGTGCACACAGTAAAAGAAAAGGGAGGGAGAATGAACTGAATTAGCCAGAAGGGCAATCGTTCCTAATATCTTAATCCTCAACCTTCTAAACTGTGTGAAAAGTGTAAATATTGGTAACTTGGGCACCATCTTTTTATTGGATGGTGCCCAAGTTACCATGTACAAAAGCGTTAGCAGCACACAAAATACATGTGTTTGTTGGCACAAGAGAGATGAAGGTACTGCTAGCAGATGAACTACTGTTTAGCAATTGCCTAAAACTTCTGGGTTTCATTATATTGTGTGTCCTTAAGGTATTGACACACATGTCAAACATTTAATAGCCACATTTGCTCTAAGCATTTTTTCCCGTGGAGATATGACTGCATTTCTTCATAAACAGCATTTTACTGCTTTCTTGTGTCCTCACATCTGCAATTTTACATGGGCCCAAAAGGTGGGATAGAAATGATCCTATAAAAAATAAAATTAGTATAAATTTATACATGCAATAATGTATTTGGCTTGGTTATTATCTTATTCCTAATCAAGGGCTTATGCTGGGTGAAAGGTTATAAACATATACACAAAAAGCTCAAATACCCTACACATGTATTTATTAAATATCTACTCTGCCCCAGCCCAAGAAGACAGGACAGTTTAAATACAGTCAAAGGAAATGTTTATGTTTCATTTATAAAGAATTTCACATAAGTTTTTAAACAAATATCTTAAATCTCTTTATCATGCTATGCCCTCATAAAGTTGAGATTCAGTCATCAATGTATCATAAGGTTGGACTTAAGTCAGAATTCTATTCCTTTTTTCGACAGAAAAAAAGTCTTGTAACTCTAGCTGTGGCAAACAGGGAGTTGTATTTGTTTCGTACTAAATATTCATGATTATGCCTTAGATATGCTTATCTAAATTAATGAGATTTAATCTAGCCATTGCTAACTGTTGTTTCCATCCAACCCACAGTGTCTAATTTTGTGAAAGTCTATGCAAGTTAGAATGCAACATACAAACCCTGGTTTATGGACATACAAACCTTATTTTTTTCTGAAATTCTGATTTTTATTTTTTTTTGAAACAGGCCCACAAATGATGTCTTGACTTAGTAGCCAAAAGATGTCTGTTCAGCTGTAGAACATATTAAAATGGCCTCTGAACACATGCAAAGTACCTTTTGCTTTCTACCCTGCAAGTGAACCAGTGTAGTGTAGTGGTTAAGAGCATGGGACTGGGACTCAGAGGATCTGGGTTCTAGTCCCCGCTCAGCCATGGAGCCAACTGGGTGACTTTGGGCCAGTCACCAACTCTCAGCCCAACCTA